CGCGCGTATGAGATGGTATTATCGTATATATGTACATCTTTCCCAGCAGTTACCCTGTGTTATAAAATCACTGTGATATTCTTTCGGAAAACCAACCGGTTGTGAAAAAGTAAAGTCCCTCGACGAAATATTCGATGATCGATGCGGCATGGCACTGACAGTAACATATAGTTTTTTCCACTATGCGAAAAAGCACTTTGTCACAAACGTGATTCAGTTTGATAATACTAGCAGTTTGTTGCCAAATTATAAGACATAGTCTTTGCCCTTCTGACGAATTTTTGTCCACGATTATAAACGCATCCCTAATTACCAGGTTAAATGAAATAAAAAGTCAAGTTCCTATAAAATTGTCCCTCTGTTTCAAATTGGATGTTTAATACGTAAAGACTTAACTGTACTTTTAATGTACTTAACTTGAGGAATGCGAGATATATTATAGAAAGGTTCTTCCTTTCTGAGAGTAGCACCAAACGGCGAAAGCTTGAAATTTCATTGTGAAATTTATAAATATCTTTTTAATTAAGATAAGCTTTATATTATTCAAAGAAGCGACGTTTAATTAAATGTTATACATAAAAGAGCACGTTAAATATAGTCATATAATTAAGAACCGTTACTCATCGAGTTTATATCTTAATTGATGATGCAGTTCTATATATAAACTAATGAATAATTATCAGAATAAAAAGTCAATGTTATTAAAAAAGAATTATTAAAGTTTATTGTAAAACATAAATATTATAAATATTCAACTTTTTATATTAAATTTTCAACTATAAAATATTTTTTGGACATTAATTAAAAATCAACAGAAATTTAAACACATTTATATAAAAATTACATGTCAAGAGCATTTATAAAATACACTATAACAATTAATGTTTAACTATTTCTTTTTTCTAATACGATATGTTATTGAACAATTGCTACAACTAAAATTTTTAAGTTCTTATTATGCTTATCGTGCACGAATTGCGGATGCACCATAATTTTATTTGTAGATTTATTAATTATTATTAGGGGATAATTAGAACGGCCACGTTCGCGCAACGTAGTTAAAAACCGCGATTAATTACACGAAAAAGAAGCCACCGAAGGGTGGTCATTTCCACAAAAGGGTGGCCATTTCCACAAAATATACCATAAGGTAGAGTAATTCATAATTAACCCAAATGAGACATGATAAAATCGCACAATTATTACACCATGGAAATTTCAAGCGTTTCCCGCTCGTTGATAAAGATCCATCGTTTTTCTAGCACTCGCACGGTACACGATATGAACACTGAAAAAAAAACTACTTTTCTAACTATTTACTAAAAAAAAAAAAACTAAATTTTAGTAAATATTTGTTTGAATAGTTGTAAGTAAATATTTATTAAATATAAATATGTATTTATTTTGTACAAAAACCATTAATTTCATTTAATTATGTATTTTATTGAATAAATATTTCTTTACTCTAAGTAAATATTTACTTAGTACTATTCAAAGTATATATATTAAAATTTAGTAAACTTTTTTCAGTAATATTAATACGAAAGCGTTCACGTTTACGCGTGATAGTTCGAAAACGATCCACGAGATAAATAATTCGACCGTACGATCCGCGATTTCTGATCGACTTTACAGAAAGACGTAGAAATGGAAAGTGCGGTTTGCTCGCGGAGGGTTTATGTATCGCCGATCTCGGTTTCGAGAACGGCGCGGACCACGCATTTACACCACCGGCACAATATAAGCCAGGCAGGGATGTTAGCATAATAAACAAAAAACACGATGAGCACAGGATACACCCACATAGATGCGCCTACAGCGTGCGCAAACTGAGCAACGAATTGAAAAGCACGCTCTTTTGCCAAAATTAGATTATCCTTTTCTCGATGATTCGCGGAATCTTTCGAGGACGCTTAACGCGATTTGTTAAACTTGCGTTATATTATCTAATTGTCTAAAAGTCAAATTGATTATGCTGTGATTTGAAGGATGAGATTCAGCCAAAGGTGTATATCGAGCGGAAAGCAAAATAGAATTTGTATAGATATTTGTGTAGATACTATTTGTATAGATTTGTACAAGTAGGCCTTATGCTTTTAAATTAATTTATAAAAAATTCTGTTTTCAATTTTGTTCTATGAAAATTCAAAGTCCTCTATTTTTTATGTAGAATCGTACATTTTTTTATTTGGTTTACAGCTGGCTGAAATATATAAGATAATCGGATCCTATAGTCTCTCTAATATTTGCAATTTTTTCTTGAGTCCAAAATTGAAAATTGATAATCAAATTCAAAAGGGGAAACATTTCTGAACATTAAAAAAATATAAGATATTTTCAAATGAAAAGAAGGCAGCGAAGATTAAAAAAAAAATAGATTATATTAGGTACAAATGTACTTAAATATAGAACTTATATATATGTTTCCTTTTTTTATGAAAACATTTTTGTTAAAAAATGGAAAATAAAGATTCATTGTTTTATAAGATTATGAATTTATTAACATATTGACATGTTACAAGAATACAATTTAATTATTTTTTAAATAATTGTTATCTACTTATTTCTTCGATGTGTAGTAGATGAATTAAAATTCATTTTCTGGAAAACAAAAGTACTAAAATAGAGTCCGATTATCTTACTAACTTGTACTCAAGTTCAACAATCTGTAGATATTAGATTGTTCGGAAAATTTATTTTAAATTTTTTCTATGTAAGTTCTGGACGCAATATTTTAATCAAATAATAATTTTATTAAAAATATATATAGTTTTATTATAATAGTTTATTCAATGACTTTGGCCCATATCTCGAATAGCTGCATAATATTCTCTCCATAATAAATTTATTATACTATTTTTAGTATCTCTCCATAAAAAAAATATTTTTCTTAAACTTAAAATGAAATTTTAAACAAACAATCTAATATAAAATCGGTCAAAATCGTTCAAAGAGAGTTGTAAGAAAATTGTTCAATTTCTTTTTTTTCGAATGTTTTCAATATTTCTCGAAATATCTGGTTCATTTACTCTGTCAATTCATTCTGACACAATATGACTACGCAATGGATTGATTTGTTCCACGTAAGCTTCTCTTAAGATTCTTCGATCTTTTTGATATTTCCGTGGCAGCTGCTTCCGTTTACTACGTTTCTTTTTTTATCTCTTACGAGAGTATAGTGGCATAACTTTTGCGAGTTGCAAGTCTACTCTTAACCACGTACGTAAAGCACGAATCATACCGCATACCAGCATACCAATTGCATTGTAATAGAAATAATCAAGACAATCGATTCCTCTCACGTCTACTCTCATTTTCAATTGGACAGGATCATTTACTGAGGGAAAATATTTCTTCCGTCATATTACATTACCTTTATGCACGATCGAACGCTCAAACGCGCTCACAATGCAATATGCCTGGCTTTAACAGTCCTTACTCTGTACAACTATATGTTAGAGTAAATCTCACTTTGAAAAGTAAAATCTCACTTGCTTGAAAAT